TCCCTACTGTAGTATGTAGGTCACCAATATATTCCTGATGAGGTCTAGTCCTCTGGAGAACTCTACAGATATGAGGGCCTAAATTAGACGCTATTATCTCTATGTGTGTGTGTGTGTGTGCCTGACTGTGTGAGAGAGAGCAAACTACACACCATTATCAGACAAGAGCCTCACAGGCATGCATGTTCAATTTTGTTCACATGCATGCTTTTACATGTAAAGAGCAGCATCATGAGTGTGTTTGTCCGTCTATGTGCGTAGGTGTTAAATTGCAAGCTATTTCCAACATAATGTATTTGTGTGTGTGTATGTGTGTGTGTGAAAATGACACACTGGTATCATCTGACAGGCTGCCTGTTACCACTGACCTGGGACTGTAAACCTCAACCCTCAGTTTTAACGACTGTTGGCTCAGAGAGCCTGTCCATATTGCTGTTGCCGAGCCAAACTGCTAATAAGCCTCAAGCACCACTCCAAGAAAACTAGGTGGCCATTGGCACAGCAGCGGCCATGTGTTAAGGTGTTACCAAATGTAGGAAGCGCATATAACATCCATAAGGGCTGTGATTGTAGCACGAGGGATGGAAAAGGATGATTTCATATTGTGTGAAATGTACTAAATTCAGTTTTTTTTTTATTCGAAACAGAATTAAAATGAGGTTTTTGGAAGAAGTCACAGCGGCTAAATGTTTAAACAGATGTGTTTCTGGACTGTGTCAATCAAACACTAAAATGATTCGATGCATATGTTCTTTTATTAAGCACTTTTTTTGTACGGCTAAAGAACCAAGGGCAATGATAATGAGGTTCCTTTTTTTTAAGCATATACAGAATTACACATCTGTCACTTCCTCCATAAAAATGTGGCTTTGTGCAGAGCTGCTGATCCAGGACAGTTTGTTGAAACATTACATGTAATTCCCCTTCATTTCAGGATGTCTCCATTTCCAGCCAGCCCGCTGTCCATAAGTCACAGGGACAATACCACATGCAGTCAATCTGTCAAACGGATTCGGATTTTTGCCGGAGCTCAGCCCAAAAGTTACATTGAACCTGAGAGAGATGAATGGGGAGCGAGAATGTCTACCTTTCAAAAGCTTCATGCTTTGACCAAATCATATGCTGTCACTCCTAAGCTTTAGAAGGCCTGCACTTTTCATCAAAGCTCTTGATGGCTACCTTTCACAGTACTGTCGAATACACCCTCAAAAGCTTCCCTCCCTCCTTTCCTCCCTTCCCCTCCCAAATCTCTTTCTTCTTCCCTCCAATGTCGACTACCCCTCTCCCCTACCCTCCCTCCCTCCCTTCCTCAATCCTTCCATTCCCCTTGTCCTTAATCCCTCCATCCCTCCCTCCTCAATCAAACCCTCAAATCCCTCCAGGTTTTTTTTTTTTTTTTTTCCTCTGTGCATGTGTGACTTCAGTACTGTCAAGGTAGATGAAACAAGAGGAATTCAGATTCATCACAGTCATAACCTGCCATGATAATAATCCACTACCATTCTTCCCATGTGGCGGTAGGCCGATGTTACTGGCCTTTTCGGGATTTATTTGCATATTTGTTTCCCCTTTGTTTCTTTTGATGAATTATTTACTGCGGAATGAAATGACAGCAGAGATCAGTGATGATTGCTGTCGCGGGTGGATGGGTGCCTTTTCTCCTCTTTGTAATTATTCCCTTTTTTCCTGATTTTCAATCAAGTTTTTCCACTCATGTTCCCCTGGTGACAACAGACGAGAAGCCGGAAAAAAAAAAAAAAAAAAAAGCACATACATTTTAGCATTTCCAGTGGAACCTTTCCACTGTCTAGCAGGATCGCAGCTTCCTTTGTTGTTGCAATGATTACAGAGTAGGAAACAGCAGGAAAAAAGAGGAGAGAGGGAGAGAGTAGGGATCAAATGGAAAAAAAAACTGTAAACACAAATGTACTGGGAGGGCCACCTCCCACATGCAGGACAAATGAGTGAAAACTCACACACACATCCTGCTCCTTATCGTCTGACCAATCAGGAGACTTGATTAGCATTAGATAAACTACTCCTAATGATCGAATGGTGTGGTGTGTGTACCTTTTGAGTCAAGTTTGAGCACAAAGTCAAAATGAGCCTCCATGAGCTTAAGGTTTGGACCGTGTACGCATCTGCACACAAAACAACGTCTTAAGAGTTGTAATCACTTGGAATTGTGTCCACATTAAGTGCTGTGATTGTAAGCCTTTAGAAACTGCATTCGCAGTGTGTACCGGGGATCTACACACACTCATACACACACAGCACACACTGCCACCCTGTCCCTGCATTGCCCTATCCAGGAATAACAATGCATAATTCATGTCCCGAAGTCTCGTCTGCAGACAAAAGTCAGCGTTTGCATTTATTATTTATTGAAAACAGCTCACATGATGAATCCTTTAACAAACAGAGCTTCCAGTAAGCACTGTACCTATTTCTTCCTCTCTTGCTGTTTGTGTTTTGGCATAGATTTAAGTGGGCTCATTAGCAGAGATGAGGATGTAAGGAGAGGAGAGGAATGGCAGGGGAGAGACAGAGAGAGGGGGGGGAGTGAGAGAAGAAATGAGGCCAAAGGATAAAGGAATCATTTTTGTAAAGGTATGAATTAATGAGAGGCTTGTGCATTGCAAGCTAATTAATTTAACAATGAAATGCTTTAGGGATTAAGTTAGGACTTTTAGGACTCCATCCCATTTATAGAGTAAAAGTTTACTATTGCTGCCCAGTGGGTATTTGAAATGACTTAATTGCATTGCTAAACCCATGTATACTTATCTTATCTTATGCCTGATGCTGCACTCTGAACCGCCTAAAAATTGAGAAGAATTGGTACAAGAAGTCACTAGCACACAAACAGACACACACATACACACACTGACACAGTTACACTTGTTGTGTGAACAGTTTGCCTTGAGGATGGGAGGTAATTTATCGTAGAGTGAAAGGAGCATTTGCCATCCTATGCTAATGCAGTCATCACTTATTCCAGAGCACTTGCATTCTTTTTTTTTTTTTTTTTTTTTGGTCTTCTACTCCACCCCTTCACCATCTATCAATCATTCAAGGCATGAGGTATATTCTTTGCGGAACATTTTATATTCAGTCTCCCCCTTAGATGGGCGGACGCACACTCATACACACACGCAGTCATTTTTGTTAAATCAAAAAAAGAAAAATCAAATCTGGTCTAGCAAAGGTTGAATAATTGATGTGTTATGTTAAAAAAGGAATGAAATAATCATACCCTGTTGGATGTTGGAGGAACATCAAACCCAGAGTTGGAGCTTGGCAGACTGGGCTGAGCAGGGTAGGGGCCTTATGTATTTGGGACGGCTGCCCTGTGAAATAATAATGAATAGCAAAGAGTTGGAGGATTAGGAGATTTTTGTTCTGCACTGTACCTGACACTTTGTGCGTGCCCACCCGTGCTTTTAACAGCATGACCAGGGAACATCTATCCTGCAATAATACATCAAGATTTTCTGAAAGTAGTTTGGTTTGGTGGGCTGGGGAAACATTCTAGTCAGGGTGCAAAAAAAATGGATAAGTGGCTGCAGTAGAAAAATGACACATGGTTCACAAGGAGTGCAGGTCTAATGGCAAGATATTGATGCTGCTCCACAAGCAATACATCTCAGGGGTGCGGAGACAGTTTAGCAAGCTAGTGGGACTTTGTTAAGAGCAGTTGGTTACATTTCCAATTAAAAATTGAATTTCTTCTCTGTGAGGTTACTGTTGCTGACAAAAATATAATGTTAAAAACAGGCGTTAGTGTAATAAAATGATGAGAGTGCAATTAAATGAACACAACGCTAATTTTTGTACGTTAGTATCTGCAGACAAAAACAACATCACCAACACTACTAACGAGTATGCATGCTGTTTAGTTCTAAACATACATTATCGACTTGGCGAATGGTTTCTAATAAACCATCGGCACTCAGCTTTACTGTGCTATAAGCTCATGGTGGTGATGAAACGGAATAATATCTGCTTGTTTGCTACTGTAGACTAGTGGGCCTCATTTTCATGGCCATAAACGTCAGCCATGAATATATACATATTGTACGTCTCTTAGACACACGCCCAAACACACACGGACACAAACCACTATGCATCATTGCTTCAAATGAAGATAAACTGTTTTTATGTTTGGGACCACCTCTTAAGATTGTCCCCATTTGGGATGCAACAACAGTGCATGATGAATACATTCATTCCGAGCTCCGGTGAGAGCTGTGCAGCCGTGCATCTCTGACCGATACCTTTTCATGATTGTATGAGGGCTGTACAATATAGATTTTCCCCATATGCAGCAGAGGGATATAAATGTTTATTATTATTACTGTTTCAGTTTCCCATTTGCCATCTGCTTTTTTTTATGTTTTGTTTTTTTTTTTTTTTTTGCTTACCAATTCCAATTTGTGTTTAACAAATGATCTCAGGGAATGAGATGCAGTGGGGGTCAAGAGGTGCATTTACTCTCTTTTTTCAAGTGTGTGGGTTGGAATTAAGATTTTATAGATAGCCTACTTTGAGATACTGTTCACCCAAATAAAGGACACAGTGTGACCGATATGATGGAAAAAGGGTAAGGAGTGAGGGGGATTGACAAAAAAGTGAACTGAAAAATGGCTGATTTAGAGTCACAGTCAAGAAGGCTTTTGAGTTTGATGACTCCAAATAAGCCCTCTGAATGAGTGAGTGACCATGTGGGGAACAAAGGCACAAAATGTGAAATAAGTTGTCCAATTCAGTCAAAGATAAAATATGAAATATGGTCAGCATGCATGAAGTTTCACTAAATTCAGAGCACACGTGTAAACCTCTTGATGGATGGGTTCGGATTAGAACAATTGCAAACGGTCCCTGCGTCGCTTTATCCATTAGAACTCCTCCCCTCCATCACGTTTCTGAGCCCTCTGACTTGAAATAGTGTTCGACTCAGGGGGGCTTATTTTATTAATTCACTGTTTCCTCTGTTACAGGCCCCCTTCTACGTAGTCCACATTGCAAGAAGACCACCTCACAGGGATTTTCCCCTTCACCAGGTAACCACAAAGGAAGAAAAGAAGCACATTATCCACATGTACAACATACCCCCCAACACACACACACACACACACACACACACACACACACAGGCTTTTTGCACTCTACAATGCGCTGACCACCAGCACAGCGAGAAACACACACACACACACACACACACACACACGCACGCACACACACAACATATTATCTTTATGAGGTGTTATACACCAGTGACCACCAACACAGGGTCTCAGTGTTCTCTAATCCACACTCAGCCTGAATAGGCCGCTCCATGCAATGGGGGGATTACACTGTCGGATTAATGGGACTTTTAATTTGAGTCATTGTGAGTGCCCTTGATAATAAGAAAAGGTGCAGGAAAGAATACCATTGGCTCTATATGATATTGTTAAATATGCTGCAGCTGTACATTTAACCAACTGCATTAACTGCAATGACACACACACTAAGAGTCAGACTGAAAATGAGCACATAAGCTTTAGGAGATTGTGAAACTTACTACTATCACCATTAAAGCTACTGCTGCTATTACCACAGCCACTGCTACATCGTTAGATAGTATTACTACCATTACATTTACCACTTATACTACCATTACTACTATAGGGCTTAGGAAAGTGATGTCATGTAAAGTCAGTAATCAGCCGTAGCTGTACTTGCCAGCTAGTAAACTGTACTGCAGTGAGCCTGTGGCCGGTGTCATGAGCTGCACTGAAACACTGCATGATAAAATCTAAGTGGAGAGAAAGACCCGCCAAGAAAAAACACGCAATTACATCTAGCCTGTTTATGAATACAGTCTGATGTCTCATTCAAGTAAATGTGCATTTTTAACTGACTGATGTAAAATAAATGAATGGAAGGAGGCAAAAGGCACCGTGAGAAACTTTTATAGACGGTATGACTCATATGAACATTCCTAACCCGAGCAACGACGCTACGCTGCCCCCTCCAGTTTTTGCCTGTTTGTCTCAGCATTCTCTGCTTCTGTATTTCATTCTACTACTTAAAGGACCATTTGGCACCACACTGGCAGAAATGGTGTATAATAACCATGTCTACATTTTCATTCATGTAGAATTATTTGAAACTAAAGTCCAGTTCAGACCAGAGATTCGCAACGAGATGAGTTGAAATAGGCAACTATTTGCAATGCGTCATTCTGCAGCATTCTAAAAACCTGGCGGGTCACACCAATGCAACTAGATCAGATGGTGTATCATCTCTATGCAACAACTCTCTGTACTTCTGTTCTGATTTCCAGCTTTTCAGGCTTATTTTGTTGCTATAAGTTGTAGTTGCTAAAAATATGATTGAGGATAGTGATAGTGAGATACTGGCTGCAGTTGCATTTGTAGAAGTGATCAACGGTGAAAAACAGACACAAACGAGCATCAGATGGTCATTTTGATTTGATTCACTACAAGCCGATTGGCTGTAGAACCTGGCGACGTGCCTTACGTTCTAAAACCGCCAAACTTTGGTCTGAACCGGGCTTTACAGTCTTAACAGCATTTTTGTTCTATATATAGAGCGGGTCCTCTTCCATGGTGTCTGTCATGTTTTTTTTACAGTAGCCCATAATGGACAAACCATATGTTGGCTCTAGATAGGTCTGCTTGTGTTTCAGTGTCTGCTACCATAGTTCTCCTACATGCTTGGCGCACAGGAGAATTTTAATTTGGTTGCAATCTGCAATCTTACCACTAGATGCCACTAAATCCTACACACTGGACCTTTAACTACCTTTAACTACTACCTAGCAATTTGGTTAAAACCAAACCCATAAAGTCAGTAGAATAATGAAAGTAATATACTGTATAGTAGTACGGGATATAGTACATGTACACACATACACACAAAGGTATCGAATTCCAATTCTGCTACCTAAACAGGGCCAAGATGGAGAGAGACAGGAAGGGAAGAGGCCAACAGTCAGGCAGAAAAGGAGAAAGAGATTGGCCCAAAGAACTTTTGCAGCAGAGTGAAGAAAGCTTGATGAATGGACGGATGACTGCATACAGGGAGGGAGTGGAAAAGAGAGCTGTTTACCATTCCTGACGGCAACAATAGAACCATGGATTTAAGCTTAACCATGGGTAAACAAAGGCAGGCTTACAGAAGAGCATTGTATTTTTCTTTAAGTCATTCTCCTCTGCTTCTTGTCTCTTTCTTCTCTTTGTGCATTCTACCAGAAACCTGACAGCTGTTCTGATTACAGAGGACTTGTATGTTAATGAAATCAAGTTGGATTCATTATATTTTGCACAAGGTCAGTGTGGTGCATTATGATTTCATCTCCCTGGGAAACGAGAATATAACATCCAAACCTTCCAAATCTCAGTGGTTGTTGATCCATTTTACTTATTAAAACCACACAGTTGAACTTGCCCTTCAAAACCAGCTTTTCTGAAACTGCTGTTTGGAATTTTAATCAATCCCTGTCCTTATTATTTATATATAGACAACTCAGCAGACGTCTGAAACAACAGAGAGGATGCTGAGGAATGATCATTTTAACTTCTGTATCTTCTGCAAAGGTTTGGGAATTATTTGAATTCCAACACTGACATAAATAGAAAGACAAGTATCATTCTGCTTTTGGCTCTAGTCCAACCTCATTTTAAGCAAATAGAGAATTACTGCTGAATTCCTCATGCAAGCTTCGGGTTGCCAACAAAACTGTATCAAAAACTTGCACAGGAACACTTTGGGACTCTGAGGATGTGTCTTTGCTGTATCTTTAAGTTTGCCAAGTCTGTTAGTGCAAAGAAAATCACTGTGCTTGCATGACATCTTTCATACAATTTTAACCCGCCTACTCAACAAGAATATACTGTCTTGGGAAGTTTGATTCCAAACAAGGCAACTGCTGAGTTGCCACTTCCAAAGGCACACTTCGGAACTTTCACCAATGCAATTATTACGCAACACAAACAAACATAAGAAATGAAAACTGAGGTAAAAAATAAGGCAGGTTTGACACCACACTGACTTGTAAGGCCTCCATTATTTTTGTAGTCTTTGTTTGGTTTTTGTGTATTATGCCTGTAGTTGCCTTGTTGACAGCTACCAGCCTCACAGAAAGCAATTACTATCAGCCCAGTGAAAGAGCTATTTACAGCTTCTTATTCTTGTCTTTTTGAAGAAGCTGTTTGTGTCACGCTATGCTAATAATATTATCATGCAAGATATTACTACACAGATTTCTGAGGCAGTTAAAAGTGTCACATGTAACAGACAACTACCAAGGGTGCAATATGTCTGTTAATGAAGGGTCAGTATATTGTAATGCAACAAAATCAAAGTCTTCCCCTTTGATTTATTTTCAAGCTGTACATTCATAACAGTGGCTCACATGCCAATGTATGCATATTCTATCTCACACAGGCTCTGCCCTCTACTGGACTCTATAGAGATACAATGCATTGTACTCTGAAAACTAGCAAAATGCCTGTAGCTAGCTAAAAACACTCCATATCGGCATGTCAAAGGATTATTTTAGCACATTATATCTCCTGGACAGGAAACGTTACATTGACAAACTCAATATTGTTGGTCCACCTCAGTGTGCCATCACCTTACCTTATTTATCTGAATGGCCAGTAGTGAAATATGCAGTAGTGAAATACTTTACAACTATTTAATCCAATCATCAGGTAAGGTCATTATTTAACCTAACAAAGATCAAAACCAGGCATTACATAGCTCAGTTAGCTTCAACCTCTACAGTCTGTCTAGACAAATTAGCAAAACGCTTGCTGCACATAAGAACACTCAGTGTCAGGATCCCACAGTTTCCCCAGATCTTTCCGATGATGCCTCGTCTTGTTACTTCAAAGCTCAGTTTTTTTAGTTTAGCAGCTTGTAAAACTTAGTTATGGAATCTTTACCATGTTGATAGTGCATCTCACCACAAACCAGCTTTTAGGCATCTTTATGTTGTTTGCTAGGAGGCGTAAATGACAAGGAGGCACATTCACGCAGTGGTGAATTGTTTTCCTCGGTGATGGTGGAGTGGGGTTTCAGTGTGCTCTGTCTCTCTGAGTGATACTCTAAGCTTTACCTGCCAATCAGGATGTATCTACCCGAATACGTGCGGACCACACAACATGTAAGGGACTACCGCAATGCTGTCCTTCATCCTTTTCCTTTTCAGTAACAGTGATTCAGCAATTCATCGAGCTCCCCCGATTGTACCCACAGAGTCCAGTAGAGGGCAAAGCCTGTAAGAGACAGAATGAAGGTTACAACATTGTAACCCTAGTTCTAGTAGCACAAGCAGAACCCTGCACTTCGGGGTCTTGTTGCTCCTATGCCGCTTGCTAAAGAGGGTGTAGGATGACGGACAGTGCCATGGTATTCCCTTACATACCATGTGGTCTGCATGTATTCATGCAGAATTGGAGAGGATGAATGTGCGCTCATGATTATGGTAAACGCCTATTTGTATAGCGCCTTTCTAGTCATCTGACCACTCAAAGCGCTTTTTACACTACAAGTCACGTTCACCCATTCACACACACATTCATACACTGGTGGCCGAGGCTACCATACAAGGTGCCACCTGCTACTCAGTCTTAAACACACTCACACACCGATGGAAGCAATTGGGGTTCAATATTTTTGCTCAGGAGCTTCGACATGCAGACTGGAGGAGCCGGGGGTCGAACCGCTGATCTTTCGATTGCCCATGATTAGAGTAGAGTATTATCCATAAAGGCCAGCAGAGGGCTCCACATGTACTAACAGAACTAGGGTTACAATACTGTAACCTTCGATACAATATTATATAACTTTGAATCACGTGACTCTGCATATTCTCCTGGATCAAACAGATGAGCTCAGTCAGGGATTGTGTCCACTGTGGCCAGCATGTTTTTTAATGCTCTGCAATGGAAGTGCCATGTACACTGCACTACAGGTGTTGGGCAAGAATTCTGCACTGAGTGCTGATGGTTGGGCTTTTTTTTTTTCTGAGCGCTGAGCTTCAGTA